ACTGCAGTTAGATACAATTTTCAAATGTCTTCCATATTCCTAAAAAAATGGTGCAGCGGCGATGATAAAGAATTCGTTAAAAATTTGCTGGAAAGTAGGTGTTGCTAAATATCTGATTATCATTTTTACGCTATTTATCATCTGTTTTAAGTACAAAGTATAGAAGTTATTATAATTCAAGTAGCGCTGGTTTTTTTTTCAAGCTCCGGAGATGCATACCCCACTAATAATGAAGATATAAACAATTAAACTTATCGGTCTAAAACACTGACAGCTCATTTTTGGTATTGTATTCACATTTCTGCTGTGCTGTAAAGTTTAGACCGGAAAATTTTATATCCAGCAAACGTTTCAGAAATCAGGTATACGATTTTTTTTTTTTAATATCCTTTCATAAATTAAAAGGACTAGTTGTGAAAAAGTGTTCTAACATAAAAAGTTACATACCTATACGTTTTTACTGAAGGCGTTTTCTTTTCTACCGAAAAATGATGCCTTCTCAGTGCCCTCTACGCACAAATACTAAGAAAAGAAATTTGACTTTTTTAATGGTATTGCAATAAGTGAAAATGCTCTTGTGCATTGGTACTCGACCCTGCCTAAGTCGGCTTGGCACTTAATCGTTGTCGTCAAGCTCAAATAACGGGAGACCCAGGAAGCTTGCGGCTTCTATTAGGTGTGTTCATAGGGCATGTTCTGGACTTCGCACCACGCTAGATTAGACGAGGAACTATGAGAGCCCTTGTGGTGCTGCTCGGTCGCTAGTCCCTACTGCGACGCCGCCCACTACCACAACAGCACACAATAAATGGCGGGCAGGTATCACACTTCATTGCCGCCCCACATCCCAATCAGTCTTCTTAGTAAGATGTTACTCCATGTCTCGTAATACAAGCTGATTGAAACACGAAAATACATACCTTTGTAAGTAATTTGCATATCACTAGCTTACAGGAGAAATAAAACTCGTGATTAATGAAAATTTAATCATGAAAAAACCGTATAGCTATTTTCTCCAAGAATTTCTCAAAACTTTGAATACAACATTTTGGCTGTTTTTACCAAAGCAAAACTCCGTATTATTAAAAGATTTCTTAATGTTTTGGCCTTATCGGGTTTTCGTTGCTTTATTTGGAATTAGAAAATTTTCCTTTCATTGAATATAAACGAGAATAAATAAAATAACTAGTAATTTTTAGCAAAAAAAAAAACCGACTTCAACTCCCATATAAAAAAAATATATATATATATATATATCTCATGATCCGCTGATCGGATCTTAACCAGATTAGTATGGGACCACCTCTGAGACACTACCTTTCCGATGCAAAAAGAATTATAGAAGAAATCGGTAATGCGGTAACATACATAAAAAAAAAAAAAAAAAAAATATTCCGACGAAGTGATAACCTCCTCCTTTTTTGGAAGTCGGTTAATAAGTACCTTTATACTTTTCAAAACAATGAATTTTTATCCTAATATCATATTATTACATACATATATGCAAAATATGGGTTTTCATAAAAAGTGGACTTAGCAACTTTTCCTCTAAGCTAGCGATATGAGGAACAATTGTTGGGTTCCTTATGCTTGGTATTCATCTGTACACATAAACCTGGCTATATGTGAACTTAAGTTCGTTTTATTTATTATTAATTGTTTTCCTTCCAGTCTCCGAATGCGGCTCAAATACGCTATCTGAACTTAACACCATGCTTACAAAAATTAGTAACATTTAGACTTAGCGACATTGGTGAAGGAATTCGTGAAGTTACTGTGAAGGAATGGTAAGCCATAGTAATTTTTCGTTTCATTGTATAGATTATTCGAAACTTAATATTTTACTTTCAGGTTTGTCAAGGTCGGTGACTCTGTAGAACAATTCGACGAAATTTGCGAAGTGCAATCGGATAAAGCATCTGTTACAATTACTAGTCGTTACGATGGCAAAATCGTGAAACTCTATCATCCAGTAGATGATGTCGCTCATGTAGGCAAACCGTTGTTAGACTTCGAAGTTGAAGAAGATGATGATTCTGATTCAGAATCAAGCGCCGATTCAGGTTCCAGTGCTAGCGATCATAAATCTTTCCAATCATCTACTGGAAAAGTCGCAAGCGATGAGGACGTAGCACGCCATATAACACTTGCAACGCCAGCAGTCCGTCGTCTGGCTATGGAAAATAAAGTAGACCTCTCAAAAGTACCGCCTACAGGTAAACAAGGACGTGTGCTTAAAGGAGATGTACTCGAATATCTGGGACATTTGCCAGCTGGCACCAATATACAACATCCAACAATTGCAGCCAAAATTGAGGAGATCAAATCTTTAGAAACAAAGTCCGTGCCAAAATCTACACCTGCTGTTCCTTATCGTGTTGAGCCACTGAAAGGTGTGCCTAAAGCGATGCTCAAGACCATGTCAGCATCGTTGGTATGCATTTTTGAGCAAACCTATAGAAATCAAAGACTTTTTATCTTGCATAAATTTCAGGAAATTCCTCACTTTGCCTATAGTGATGAGGTTAACATGACAAAGCTTATTGATTTCCGGGATCAATTAAAAAGTGCGGCGAGCGATCGAGGCATACCTAAACTCACCTTCATGCCCTTTTGTATCAAGGCTGCATCTATTGCACTCTCAAAGTTCCCTATTCTAAACAGTTCGCTAGATATTGATAAGGAGGCAGTTATTTACAAAGCGTCTCACAATATCAGCGTAGCTATAGACTCTCCTCAGGGCCTAATAGTGCCCAATATCAAGAACTGCGAGAGTAAAAATATTCTAGAAATCGCATTACATTTGAATGAACTGGTTGAAAGAGGTCGCAAAAATGCATTGACACCGCAAGACTTTGCTGATGGTACCTTTTCACTTTCGAACATTGGTGTGGTAAGTTGCAGACGAAGAATTAAATGAATTTGAATATAACGAATTTGCGTAAAAATATTTCAGTTTGGCGGTACTTATACTCACCCTTGCATTATGGCGCCTCAAGTGGCCATTGGTGCTATGGGACGAACAAAGGTAAATTTATGATTTTTAAATGAACTTAAAAAAGGGAAATGTTTAGTAGCTGACCCATCGTTTTTGGGGTGGGGGCGGAGGGGCGGGCCCCTCCCCCCACTAGAAAGGGGACAGTCCCCACTTTCTAAAAAGGCGTACCCCCCTTGGGCTCCTCCCACAGGCCCCTAGGGAACCGTTTGAAAAAGGGGAAAAACGGAATTTCTTACGCAAACTGAGCAGTTTGAAGTGGAATATAACCCAACTTACAGAAACCGTGGGATTTTTAATAAAAGAAATTATGCCAAATTAGATATCGGGCGATTTTGAATAAAGAATAAAAAAGTTAATTAAAAATAGAAAAAACAAGTTTTTATAAAAAAAATGTTCTTTTTAACAAATGTATTTTTTCGTAGAATTCCTTTCAGCGTAGGCGGCCTTCGGCCGCCCTTAGGGATTATAACCCTCACAAAGAAGAATTCTCTTTCTGTTTTGCGAAGAAAAGGAGCTGAACACCTTTTGCAGAGAAAACCTTTCTGCGTAGGCGGCCTTCGGCTTGTTTACCACCAACTTCTAGCGGTTGGTTAACTGGTTGACCGCTAAATCAATGCGTGTGTAGGGCCTTTTAGAATTCTATTCGCAAAGCCTTAAGGTGCTGTTAAACGTGATAGCGCATTTTCTACCAGTTTGCTATCAAAAATTGAAATCGAAAGTCCACTTTCCCGTGTAAACAGCCAGAAAGTCCGTTTTGCAGATTTGCAGGCATCACTTTTTTTTTTTTTGATTTTGATAAGTTGCCTGATTTTCACCACCGCCAGGCTTCGCGGCTTGCGTTTTGGTACGAATGCCGTCGAATTTTTTTTTATGCGTCACCCGAAATTGGCTTGCGTGCGTTTCCATTGGATTTCCATCCCTATTCTGTAATCCGTCGTAGTTTCGATTTCCGAATCCGACGTAGCTGTCATTTTTATGTATTTGTCGGAAATTTTGTACGAATAGCAACTAGTGTCGGAGCGAAGCAAATTGTTATTAAATATCAATAAAATTAAGTGTGTAAACGCAAAAGTATGTACATATGCATGATTCAATAATGAAAGGTTTTGTAAGAAAAAACTTTCTCTCGCTCTAATTTTATCAATGACACTCCCACCCTACTCCTAAAAACAAAAACAGTGATATTTCTTTTCCAAATTTCTTTGCAAGTTTTAAGAACATTTTTAAATTGTTAGTAGTGAAATTTTTACTTTTTAAATTTGAAGAAATGTTTGTTCTGCATTCGCTGGCGCCAACAAGACAAAATGGGTGAGAATGGTTGGACTACAGAAATTCAATGTTAAGAGACGAAATTCCCTTAAATGCCGAAATGTATTTGTCGATATTCGTGGAGACCTCTTGATTCTGCTAAGTCGCTGTAAAGTAAAGCGTTCAATGAGCCAACGAAGGTATTTAGGTATTGTACTCCACGACACAATCCTGGTGTCTCCGAATGAGATTTTGACGCAATATAACATTGCCAAACCGCATCCATAGGCCCAATCGTCACACGACAGCTCGGTTTAGTCAATGGCGCGATGTAATTGCACACTTAAAAGGTGTACGCACGAGGCGAATGTTGGCTGGCGACCAACTTTATTGAAAGCGATTAGCTGAAAGTAGAATGCAAAGTTGAACAATACAAACGCCTTTTTATGGCGAATATTTTAATATTTTTTTATATTTTGATATTTTTAGTCATTCAAATTTTTTTCGTGCAACCCGGCGGGAGTTGAACGCAAAAGTTGCCTGAAAAATCGCCTCGTGCGAAAGCCCCATTACGCCACTTCTCATTTGACGATGTAGATCACGTTCCCTATCTCAGTCGTTCAGTAGCTGCGTGCTCTGAGTTCGTCCGGCACCAATCGCCAACTGCGGCTGTGCAAGCCAGTGTTGAATATTTTCCCCAGAACATAAAAAGTGCGACATCAAAGAATTCGAAACAATCGAGCCATAACCGCGAAAGAAACGTAAGCTCCAAATTTTTTTATTTGCCGTTTTTTTGTTTAATAAATATTGCATATTTTCCGCAAACAAATAGCTTCTTCATGTCCATCAACTGGCAAACAAATACAACAAAAAAAAAGCTGAAAGTGGACCATCCATTCTCGAGTTATGCGCCATCTGACGTACGCAAGTTTGGTATAAACATAGAAATATTTATTTTTAATAACAATAGGGGGTTATATTCGATGTAAATAAGCTTGTTTAAATTAAATAATTAAATCAAATTCGTTTTTGTTTTAAAATACCACCATTCACTATTATCCACACGTTTTTATAGAATTTAGCTCCCATTTTAGGAAGTGTGATTGAATTCTTCCCCTTTTTCTTCTGCTTCCAAAAACCATCCCTGTGGGTGGGAGTGCCAAATTTTAGAAAAAAGCTACTTACAAAACCTTTAATAATTGAATCATGGTACATATGTATGTAAGTTGATGTGTGAATAGAAACAAAAATTATTATTAAATGTTTACAAAATTAACAGATCGAAGATCACAATACGAAAAACTGGTGGAATGCATGACCGAAAGGCCGGACATTGGTCGAGGCTTTGTAAAAGGAGCTAAAGAGGATGTGGTAGAATGTTGGGAAAGCGTTCCAAGAATTAAAGCGGCACAATATCTAGTGAAATGGAGGCCCTTAAAAGGAGAGAGCCTACATTTTATCATTTAAGCTAAATGGATCAGAACAATCTCCTAGCAATCTCCTTTGTATATTAATGCAACTGTTAGCTGTTCTTCCTTCTGGAACAAAAGTGCACCGGCCACTGAATCCTTTGTATTCTACTTAGTTAAGGAAAAGTCTTTTCAAGTAATGATTAAACAATTTTTTTTTTTAATTTCACTATTCACTTGCGATTATATTTATTTTGATTTGTTTCTGTCAAAGCAGCTGATTAAGAACTTCGCATTTCACTATTTTAGTTGGCAATGCGGTTGATATTTATGATCGTATTACAGCATACCAATTTTCGAATTTTCGGAATGGAGCTACGAATTCGTAACTACGAACTTTCGGATTACAGCATACGGGTGTTCAAAAATTGGAAATTGAGTTAGCTTCATACGCACGTCGTTCAATTTCGGTTGATCCCATACAAGTTGCATGTGCATGAGAAAGTTGCATGTGCATGAGAAAGTTTAGACAATAAATTGGCTGCGAGCGTGAATATTAATTAGGTTAACCTCTAATTCCTCTGCTTTTAATATATATCTCTTTATATGTTATATTCCACTGGTATGGTAATACCGCTGAGGGACAGAACTACGTGCAAAAGTTTCTGCTTGTATTTGTATCATGCGTATTATTATTTATCAATTATGTATGTGGGTTTCTGGGCCCTTCCGTTCCAATAAAAGCACTCTCTTTTCGTATCAAATTAAGTTTCTTCTTCTTTTTTGGCGCTGTAACCGCCTAAGCGATTTTGGCCGAGTTCAGCAAAGCACGCCAGTCGTTTCTCCTCTGTGCCAACTGACGCCAATTGGAAACGCCAAGTGAAGCCAAGTCCTTCTCCACCTGATCTTTCCATCGCAGTGGGGGCCTCCCTCTTCCTCTGCTACCACCAGCGGGTTCCGAGTTGAATACTTTCAGAGCTGGAGCGTCGGTGTCCATTCGAACGACATGACCAAGCCAGCGGAGCCGCTGCATTTTAATTCGCTGCACTATGTCCATATCGTTGTAAAGCTCATACAGCTCGTCGTTCCATCGTCGTCCAGCCGCCTCATCGGATGTTGTCATTGTCCATGCTTCTGCGCCATATACCAGCACGGGCATGATGAGTGACTTATAGAGCGCGGTTTTCGTACGTCGAGAGAGGACTTTACTCCTGAATTGCCTACTCAGTCCAAAGTAGCACTTGTTGGCAAGAGTGATTCTACGTTGGATTTCAATGCTGACATTATTATCGGTGTTAATGCTGGTTCCCAAGTAAACGAAATTCTCTACTTTCTCGAAATTGTAACTGTCAACAGTGACGTGGGTGCCAAGGCGCGAATGTGCTGACTGTTTGTTTGATGACAGGAGATACTTCGTCTTGTCCTCGTTTACCACCAGACCCATGCGCTTTGCTTCCCTATCCAACTTGGAAAAGGCAGAACAGACTTCGCGGTTTTTGTTACCGATGATGTCGATGTCATCGGCATAAGCCGGCAATTGCACGCTCTTGTAGTAAATTGTTCCTGAGCCGTTCAGTTCTGCAGCTCTTATTATCTTCTCCAACATCAGATTAAAGAAGTCACATGACAGGGAGTCGCCCTGTCTGAAACCCCGTTTTGTGGCGAACGGCTCGGAGAGGTCTTTTCCAATTCTGACGGAGCTGGTGGTATTGCTCAACGTCATTTTACACAGCCGTATGAGTTTTGAGGGGATGCCAAATTTAGACATAGCGGCGTATAGGCAACTCCTTTTAGTGCTGTCAAAAGCGGCCTTAAAGTCGACAAATAGGAGGTGAGTGTCGATCCTTTTCTCGCGGGTCTTTTTAAAGATTTGGCGTATTGTGAATACCTGGTCTATGGTGGATTTGCCAGGTCTAAAGCCACACTGATAAGGCCCAATCAGTTCATTGACGGTGGGCTTCAGTCTTTCACACAATACGCTCGATAAGACCTTGTAACCTATGCTTAGAAGGCTGATCCCGCGGTAGTTGGCGCGAATGGCGGGGTCACCTTTCTTGTGGCTTGGGCAGAGCACACTTAAATTCCAGTCGTCGGGCATGCGTTCATCTGACCATATTCTGCACAAGAGTTGATGCATGCACCTTATCAACTCCTCGCCGCCGTACTTGAATAGCTCAGCTGGCAGGCTGTCAGCTCCAACGGCTTTGTTGTTTTTCAGCCGCGTTATTGCTATACGTACCTCGTCATAGTCAGGCGGTGGAATGTCGACTCCGTCATCATCGACTGCGGGCTCGGGTTCTTCTTCTCCACAACTTTCCGTGCTGCTACCATTTAGTAGGGCGGAAAAGTGTTCCCTCCATAATTTAAGTACGC